GTCACCATTGAGAAAACCTAATTCGAGATCTTCTTGATCATGTTTTTTAAAAATACCAAGTAAATATGTTTCATTTGATGTTTTATCATCATATCTCATAAGTTTATGTTCATCTTTAAAATTCATTTGTTTCATCATCACTATTATCTTCATCTTGAGTAGAATCGAACAAGATTTCTTTTTTATCATTGATAACATTAAATGATAATGAATATTGAGTATCAGATTGAATTGTATTGATTTGTCTTTGTTTATTCTTATTTCGTTGACATATTTTGTTTAATTTTTTCTCAATATCGCGTAAACGTTTATTATGTGTCTTTTCATGTATTGCTTGAATTCTTTTTTTAACATTATCAGTATCATCATTCGTTTCAAATATATTATTTTCTATATTTTTATTGTTAATAAGTGCAATGACGTCTTCAATAGCATCATATGCTTCTTCAGTCGTTTAATACTTTCGTGAATATGAAGAACTTTTTGACGACTACTCTCTAATTCAATATTAGGAATATCTTTATCAGACATACGATTTAGACGATTTTGTAAAGAATTTTCAATTGGTATTGATTTATATTGTTGAATTTCGAGAACACGATTAGCAAAAAAAATTGGCGTAATATCATGAAGAAGTTCAACACACACAGCCGTATACAATTCATTAACTTTATCACGTGTTTGTAGTAAATAATTCACTGTCTGTGGATTACAATCATTTGTAAGAAATTTCCCTGTTACATAAATTAAATCAAGTGGGTTTTTATGACCTGTAACAGCAGTAATAGCTGAAGTTGCAATAGCTGCAACAGAATTGACACCAGTTGCTATTTTCGGTATACTATTCTGAGCAGCTTTAAGTACTGTGTTTTCAAAACCATCGCTATCATGATTGTCATCATCATTGGTATTTTGGGTAATAACTGTATCCATATGTGAAAATGAACTGACAAGATTTTGTAAAGCACCGCATACATTATGAACAGCATAAACCATTTTAGCATATCTTGCATGTTTAATAGCTGTGACAACATTACGAGTAAATTTACGTGTAACTGTATGATATTCAGGATCAACTAAACTTAATACTTTGACATATTCTTTTAAATGAGAAAATTTTGTATTGAGTAGCGCCGATTTAACATGATTAGCAAAATGATCACTTAGAAATGTATACATTTGTGTTAGCCAACAAATTCTAATTAATAATGTTTCACGAATTAATGTGAAAAGTAATTCACGTACAATTTTTTCTGTATTTTCATAATCACTCACACCATCATATAACAATGATTCAGATGATTCAAACCAATCACGTTCACGATTTAATGCTTCATGTGATAATATCATGTATGAAAATACCTTAAATAAATAGATCGATGTTAACAATTCATATGAATTTGAATGAAATTTGAATACTAAAAGAGAGAAAATTGTTTGCTTGAACATTTTTATAAACGATATGAATTTATTTTCAGGATTAAATTGAAAAAACGTACTTTTGCATGAGCTTAAAATACGAAATTAATATAATATATTAAGAACAAAGGAAAACAAAAATACGTATGGGACTGACTTCTCTTTAATTGAGCAATAAAATAATTGAAATGAGCAATAATTATAGTGAATGAGCAATAGTTTATTTAAATTAAAAATAAATTTCACATAAAAAGGGCAATACGAATTCATTTGTGTAAATCGTATGATTTTTACTGTTATGTGTTTATGTGAGTTCGATTTATTTCGTACACATTTGAAACGTGGTATATGAGAAAAAACGTAGAAAAAACAATGAAATTGAGAAGGCAATAGAATTTAATATCGGATCTCCCATAGAAGAGAACATTGATAGATATTACATAAACATCAAAAGTGTTGGAAAAATCCCATATATAGTACAAGATAATCCTAAAGAAATTTTCAAGATGATCAATAGGACAATTCTAATACAGTGGATGGGAAAATTCTTATGTTAAGAATTTATTTATACAAACCGTATTTTTTCAGTCTTATAAAATAAAAAAATATAATTTATATAAATAGCTCAATCACAACGCGTAACGCAGTATATTTCTGACAGTGAAAGTGACAATGACATGGAACTAGTCTCTTGATAACAGGATGAGGGTAAGGGTGCAAAGCCTCACCAGAGGCAAAATATGTGGATATTGATACTAAAAGAAAAAGAGGAAGACCAGCTGAAGCAAAAAAAGTTTTATTGACACAATAATATATTTATTTTTCATTTTTCTTTTTTATATTGTCAATTGTAAATCAAAAAATATCTTTTCCTTTTTCCTGTTGCTAAAATATGATATTACTACTGCTATTTAATGAATTAATTATTGTACATTTAATATTATAAAATTACTCAAAGTTAGTTTTCTTATTGCTCAAAAATTATTGCTATATCATGTCTTAATTATTGCTCATTCCAATATTTTTATTGCTCAAATAAATACTAGCCTTTTCTAAATATATTTATCTCTAATTTTGTTAGGGTGTGGGTATGGAATAGTTTTCTCTTTACCAACACCCATGCTCATGCCCTCATTATACTTCTGTCCCTACAGAACGATTTTAATCATCAATCTTCGTTGACACTTTCTCATCAACTACTAGCGCTAATTCCTCATCACATACAAAACAGTATATATCCTAATGAATTAAATTTCTTTTGAAAGAGCAAGAATCGACGTATGATATTATACAAAATGAAAAAGCTAACACATTTTTATGTTAGAAAATGTTTGGTTTTTCTACTAAAACATCAAAACATAATAGCGCTCAAAATATGCTTACTCATCCTTGTATTAAAAATTTATTCAATTCAATTAGATGAATAGCTCATGGGCGCCAATAGGTACGTCATTTTTTAAGGAAAAACTATGAACTGAGCAGAATGAAAAATCGATAACCCATGAATAGTCATTTTTCGGCTTAGTTTAGCTCATCGAGACTTAAACTTATTTTGTGAAACACGATTTAAACTGAATGTTGAAGTATAGGAATCAAAATTTAGACTTCCCCGTGCCCTCTCTCCCTAATACAGACCACGATAGAAATAGATATATGGTCATAGACTGTATATCAATAAAGTTACTTTCTATAGGGTGTGAACCACTTCTTTGTTGCATTTCTGGAAGATAAAGTAATAGGATGGCGAAGAACTATGTCCCAAAATATATAGAATAAAGCAATCTTCCTATGACAATCAATGTTAGCTTCATCATCATGTTTCACAATCTAACCTTGTAGAGATTGCATTAAAAATTTTGTGCAGAGAAATAGATTGAAAAAGGACACTCTGAAGATGAGGTAACAGTGAAGATCTTACCTAAATCGGTATGCTCTCAACATTGTTTAAGATGGGCTTATCGGATCATTTGAATCTATTGTATCGAATATGCACATACAATTTTCTTGTTAAACTCTTTTCAATAGTGAAAAATTGTCTCAATGATTCTTTGTTCAGATCAAAATAATCCTTGAATAATTTCTATTTCGTAACGGATAATCCTATTTCGTGCTGATTTTTTATAATTACTTTTAACCACATGAAAATTTTGAACGAAATAGCAGAATCTATTTCTCACTGGCAGAGCTATTAATATAAACCAATTTGATTTAGCAGCGAAACATTATCTTAGAAAAAAGTTAATAAAAGTCTTTCATAGCGAAATAATCATGTCTTATCTTTGAACACAAAGAAAATGAATTGACGAAGAATTATTTGTAGAATTTATTATAATGTTATAAGGATAAATATCAATCCTTTAGAAAACTATAAAAATAATCCTAATATTTGTTGTTTATAATTTACCGTAAAGATCTATTTATTTTGTTAGCATTTTCTATCTATCTTTCATATAATTTTACTCTATTTTGTGCATCTTTTATATACTATTTATCATTGTGTTTGACGGTATGTGGAGTGGATGTTAAGTTTTCTTCATGCTCACCCACATCCAAACTCTTAGATTATTGGGACTGACGCTGACAGATTTTTCTGATTTTGAATATCACTAAAGATTACCAACCTTCACTAGTATATTCAAGATAGTTGCATGTGAAAGAACTTCAATTAGACCTACAGTAGTTCACGTGAAGTCTGGATCATTAGTATTTCGATAAATTCCAAGTAAGAACTTGATTTTCAAACTGAATATGTTACATTCAGTAAATTGGGGTTCGACATAAAATAACTGTAGGTTTAATCGCATACAAGTCTTCAATATTCACTCATTTTTAATTGTTCATAGATTCTTTTTTCGAATGTAGAAAATCAGAAGAATTATAATCGTATTAACCATTTATGCAACTAAGCAGTTAACTATGTAGGAGAAATGAGCTTCCGAGGCATCTAATAGAGTTGTAAGGGAAGTCAACACTTGAACGATAGTATTTATCAGTTCAATGTCAGTCCAATATTCTAACCAAAAATAGCTGAGACACTTGCAAGAAAGTAATATACGAACCCGTTCAACTTCGGCTATTTCAAAGTGATTAAATGTTGATGAAGTGTACTTTTTGAAAAGACAGTGGAATTATTAAAATGATCTAATTTTTTCATCGTATTCTACGTAGGCGAAATTAGAAATATAATCTTTTTGTGTGATTTCTGTTTTCAAAAATTTAAAAAAAAATCATATATGTCCTCAATTTGATGACAAGAATAAAAAGAATTGAAAGAAAAGATTTTTAGAAATCAAAATTATATCAGCTGTTATTGGTACTATTCTATGTTGAGTATTCATGTTTATTGAAAGAAAACTAAAGAAAATGCTATTATACAAGATATCATTAATTCATTTTAGGCTGTTCAGATTCATTTCGTACATAGTACTGTTCGATTTCACTGATTGAATAGTTTGTATATGATTGTTAGTATTTTCTATCTAGAGTTTATTAAAACATATATATATGAGGCAAAAGAAAAGGTTTAGATAAAAACTGGTTCAGTAGCAAATGAAAAAGAAATAAATTAAAGTTAAAAATAGTTAAACCTTAAGAAAAGTAAGTGCAGTAAAAAGAAGCATGATTATAGCAAAAACTACTAAACAAAGACGATCCATGACCATTGCCACAAATTGCCAATCTTGAGATTCATTATCATCTTTCTCTTTTTGTTGAGAATAATTAACAAGGATAGCAAGTTGAGAAATAATAAAACGTAACTCAGAACGATTCATTTCTGTATCACATGTATACAATTCATTAGATGCATTTTGCTGATAACGAGAACCATGAATTTCCGTTGCTGGAGGTACAGCGAATTCTAAAGGTTTCTTGTCGATATTTATATCATTGGTTGATAACAACTCGAGTGAATTGTTCAATAATGGTTCAGAAGGAATCTTAAAATGATGATAATTCATCGATCCATTTATAGTATTCGATTCTTGTTGTGAAGAGGCTCATCGACGACGAATCGAATGCCAAGTCAAATCATGATTAGGTCGATTCATACATAATAGCCACGCCAAATAGTTACAAATATACTTACGAACCTAAAAGGATTTTTAAAGTCATGTGATTTATACATTTTGAAATATGATTTACCCATGATGGCATTGTATAATTACTAGAGTTTCGATTATGAAGTGATAATATTAATACTGATGCAACAACTGATACTGCTGACAAGATCATAACACACATGAAATAAACAGTAATAATCGGTATAGCAGTTGAACTTGGTGGCAGAATATCCGATAGAAGTAAACTGAACATAACAACACTTAGAAGAGTTGTTATCTCTGAAGATTTAAAATGTATAAGAACAATTCTTTTATCATCAAATTCTAACTCACGCAAGGTTAATTTTTCACCACTATCCGGTGATAATAAAAATCCAAGTATTGTCATACAACTGATAAGAAAACAAGGTACTATGAAACGAAGAAAAGATTAATATTAATGCAAAGATTAGAAAAAAATGTTGTAATTTATATTTTATTACCGACGATATTTGTAAAGTAATAAAGAGAACGTCGACGCATTCGAATAGTGTATAATACGTATGGGTACACACTTGGACAACAGTCGTATTTGGTGCCATTATTCGTTGCAGAGAAATCTAAAATAAGATGAATAGAATAAATTGTACATAACTCATATTAACTACCTTCTAAATCCCATTCGGCACTTTTGACGTATGCATCTAATTGACCTTGGTTACTTTCTACCGTCAGATTGACTCCTAAGTAATAGAAATGTATATAACATGCAGAAACATTTGGCATTTCATTCAAGAAAAAAAAATGATTCAACAACATACCAGCATCATCATATGTCCAAGATCCAAATTTCAACGTACAATATTGTGTGTCCAAAAAAAGACAAACATCAAGAAAGAAGTACAATATAACTGACATATTTTTTTGGTACTTACAAATGGAAATAAGGCAATATTAAATGGACAATTTGATTTGAATAGTACTGGTGGAACATATAGTATATCACCATTATGTTGTACAACGGCATTGACTTTTACTGTAGTATCAAACTTTTCATCGGCACTTAAAAGAAAAAAAACAAACATCTTTTTTTAAGATCTTTACTCTTTGAAAAATAATAACGTGTTGTATAGGAAAATGTCTGGTGTCCAAATTTGTGTACTTGGTATTCTTAATGTTTGAATATTACCAAACTCTTCCGGTTTCCATCTTAAACTATAATCATTCCATTTCTATACAGAAATATATTAATAATATTAGGAGATATTATAGTTAGGCATGCAACGGTGACGATAAGTGGCTCCCAGTTCATTGGTTACTGGTTCTGATCGGGACAAGCGCCATGATTAACCGGTATTGGACTAATAATAGTTTATACCGACCCATAATGGCTTAGGGTGCAGTCGATTTTTCAAAATTTTGAGCTAGATTTTTTTTGTTGAGGAAAAGGCTTTGTTTTTACAGAAAAAATATTTCTTTTTTATCAAGTTAAGCCAAAGGCAACTGGAGTAGAGAAATCCGAATCTGTCATTGATTTCTCGAAGTTAGATTCTTAATTTTTTGCAGACATGTTGTTTTTCAAAGAGCGTTTTTCAGTAACAAGAAATCATTTGTTCACAAAAAAAACCTTCGACGAAGAAAATAATTTTTTAGTGAAACAACAATTTTTTTTATAGAAATACAAGTTTTCATAAAAGAAGCTTTTTCAAAGAGAATCAAACTCAGAATTTCGCAAAAAAAACAAGTACACCCTAAGCCAGCATAGCCTGATGTTAGCCTAACTATCATCGTTGCATCCCTAATTATAACTAAGCATACATACGATAGTCATCCAACCGCTAATAACAATAGCTTCGTTCTTTCCATCCTATTTATGTTTTCAAGATTGATAAAAACATGAAAAATATGTATTTAATCTCACTTACAAAATTAATGATTTGTTGTAAAGCTAAATTTATGGTGACAGATAAGGTGTAAGACTCATTTTGAACAGGTCGTGCTATTGGTTTGAATTCATTAACAGCCAATAGATGTTTTAACAAACGAAGTTGATCAGGACCTCCAACTAATATTCATTATGTTTTCGTTCCCGAAGAAATTCATTAACTCACTTATAAAATTGCAACAGTAACATATGATTAGCAGAAACAATTTTAATTGTCGTTGAATTGTATGAAACATTTTCTTTGAAACTAAAAAGACAAGATATAGAATGTTTTATCCGTCAAAATCTTTTAACTAATGCAAAAAATATAAAATGATGGCAAAAGAGCGCAATATTAGAATCCATTTGGTCTACAATTTTGCTATTCCAAACGGTATTCTTAACACTTTTAATGAAATTTCCATATTCAAATCTTATATTTGCTTCGAAGATATAAGATACTTTCCATAGAAAATAAAAATGCATACACATTCTACGATGGGAACATTTGACAAAATATTTCGATTATTCGTACCACTATAATGACTTATGGTGTAGATATAAGAAAGCGTATCATTGACTTAAATTAGTACAGATATACTTCGTCTCTAAATTAATTGAAACGTCCTGAACAGAGAACATTGAAACTGAATGATAAAGCGATAAATTTTAAAGTATTGTCAATAACGGAAACACGTTTGACTAGAAAACAATATCTTACGGTACTATCTATACGACTAAAATATTCCTTCATTACTATAAATCAAATTTTTATAGTGTCAAATCCACATTTGTTATAAATGTTTTTTCGAGAATTATCCAAGTCAATAATGACAATACTTAATACCTATCCTCGCTTAAGACATATTATGATTAGAAAGAAAGCCTCGTCATTATGAAACGAAATTTGCGTTAAACTCACGTGCAAAAACAAGGAAATGACGGTTGTCGAATATTATTCTCAAGCAAATATAATTGTATAGACAATCCTAGTCCGTAGTTTAAATGAAGAACGAAAAAGAAAATTAACCTTAAATAATTAAGAGACAACTGACACATCACCCTGTCATGGTTGAGTGACGAAAAGTATGGACAAAAACAACCTGCATGTGATGATAAAGATAATAATGCCTAGATGGAATGATATCGCTTCTCAAGTTTTCTTACAAGTCTTTGAGTTTCGTCTCTCACATGCAAAATTTTTAAAGTAATCGAGCAATCATCAAACATAACACATCATTTTATTTCGAAATTCGATTTCTTAAACAGCTATTACAAATGACTCTTTTAATTACTATTACATAGGAAGTGGAAGACAACGATATTCATTTAGCAAGTGCCCCACTGTTAATTAATAATATCATTATAGCTGGTACTCTTTCTCATAGAAAAAGTGCTTCACAAGATAATTGAATTATACATATACCGGACACATATATCTTCTGTTACTAGATAGTGTTCTCCTTAACGAGAAATTTTCTCTTATCAAAAAATAATTAAAAATGATCTCAATAACAGTAACTTACACGTAGTTAGTTAGAGATTTAGGGGATATGTATTACAGTCGAGGACAATTGAGATTATATATGTTATTTTTTATTTTTTATTACTATATATTTTTTATCTATTAATCAACTATATGTAGAGAGAAGAAAGTCCGAAACGTATTGTATCCTGTGGTATATTTACATGGAACATCAAAAGCAGTTCAAAATGTAAAAAGTGTATTAGAAAAAAAAAGTGACATTTGTTTTTACTACAATACGGAATGTCCAGTGTTGTGACATTTTTTTATTTCGCGCATATCTTGGCTTAGGCAAATTAGAGAATCTTGAATCTTTTTTTTTAAAAAGATGTGCTATGAAAAGCTCGACAAAAGCTGTATGATCGAATTCCTTGTTATCTGTTCTAATGGTTTTTTTTTCTTATGCTTCAAATAAACAGCTCACATGGTATTGTCATTTCCCATCATACTGAAAATGTTGAAAGACTTTTTTTGTTCTACAATATCTCGACTTGAGAAAATGAGATATTTGAATGCATGGTTGTCTCATTTGCCTAAGCCAAGATATATGCGAAATAAAAAATGTCACAACATTATGGACATCCCCTATTGTGGTAAAAACAAATATCACTTTTTTTTCTAATACAATTTGTATATTTTAAACTGCACTTGATTTTCCATGTAAATATACCAAAAAATACAGTGTGTTCCTAGCTTTCTTCCTATATATAGTAAGCTCATAGATAAAAACGTAACGTTATAAAAAACAAACTATCCAAAGATATAATTCCAATTGTACTAGACTTATATAAAAACAAATTTATTAAATAAATAATACATATCGATGATTTCACCGCATATGTGACACATTCACATCAAGTTCTTCAAAATCGATGTTCATGTTTGGAAACGGGTAGAACATAATCAATTTACTTACTGTGGTAACCAAAGAGCCGCTATAAATTTTAATGTTGAAGAGATTAATGATAGACAAGATGAATACAAACAATGGCTAATATTATATACCAACACTGTAAATAAAGCTAAAATATCTATCATCACATATTATTAATGCAAAATTCGGGTACATAGTGACATCAAAGATTTTGTAGAGGAAAATTTGCTCCACATGCCCATGTATAACACTTTCCAGGTGGTATCAAACAGGGGTTATTCCAGCACGAAAATTTTTAGCGTGCAATTACACCTAGATTAATTATAATAATGTTTTCCTGCTGAAATAACCCCTGTTTGGTACTTCTCTGAAAAGTTTTTTATATGAATGTGCAGAGGAAGGTTTGCTCTACAAAACCTTCTATGTCAGTGTGCACCCAAATTCTGCCATAACGATATATCATGATGGACATATTAGCTTTATTTACAGTGTTTTTATATTATATTAGCTGTTTTTTTGCACTAATCTTGTCAATCATTAATCTCTTCAACATTAGAATTTATAGCGGATCTTTTGTTATTGTAGCAATTAAATCGACTATGATCTACACGACTTCAAACTTGAAAATCGATTTTGAAGAAGTCAATGTAAGCGTGCCGCCTATTCGATGGAATCAACCATACATTACAGGAACATACGCGTATGCAGAAGCGGCATAAAAGAAAAAAGAAGAAAAAATAATTTCTAATCACCTAATTGAAATACAAAAATAGATACAAAGAGAACGAACTATGTGTGATTACGTAGAACGCGACAAAAAAAATCGAAACGAGAAAGAAGCGAAGAGTAGTTGGCAAACAAAATGTGTTTATCTTTTCTTTTTTAAATGAGTGTTCAACGTTGTTGATCACATTTCGCCGCGAAGTAGAATATCCATCCTTGCCGATATATGTATTGAGCTATATGGTTCATCATTATCTTCTAAACTTATCTTGTTATTGAAGTCTGTTTCATCATTGATGGTATCTGTTGATTGTTTAATTATCAATGTATCGTATCGACATCTTGCGGTGTCGATTTGACACTTGACTTTGTATTGATATACTACATGTTGATTGTTGTTTTTTCTTCGGCACATCTTGTAGATATAAATCATCTTTCAACGATGGATTATTGTTGATTGGTGTCATCGTCTGTCTGTCACCTGCTGTTCGATGACT